GAGACACCGCGAACGCCGACAGAAACGCCAGGCGGTGTGTGCCGCGGTGAATTCTGCATGTCGTTCCGACAGCCGCCCATATGCTACGGTAGCGATTGAAGGCAGAGAATTTACCGGTCTGTTGGATACCGGGGCGTCGGTGAGCTTGCTGGGAAGTGGTGCCATAGAGTCGGTCCGAAAACTAGGTTTGGTGGTACGCGAAAACAAATCCGCGGTAAGGACAGCCGGCGGCGCGCCACATTGCATTATTGGCAGCGTGATGGCGCGCGTTAGGTATAACGGAACAGAGTCGGAAATGGTATTCCACGTTTGCCCGTCGTTGTGCCAACCGCTTTATCTGGGCGTGGATTTTTGGCGCAGGTTCGGTTTGGCTCCGAATGTGATCCCGGCTGTGGACGAAGGACAGCACGTGGCTGAGTTGGAGGAGGAGCGCTTAGGAAAGAGTACGCCAACGGAGCCACACGATTTAGAGGCGTGGCAACAGGAGAAGTTACAGCGAGTCGTGGCCCAATTCAGATCCTTCGAGGAGCACGGTCTGGGTAGGACGCCAGTGGAGCAGCACCACATTCAGTTGACGGAGGGGGCACTGCCAGTGAAAGAGCGTTTTTATCCCGTGTCGCCGGCAGTGCAGGCGCTATTGTTTGCAGAAGTCGACGAGATGCTTCGGCTAGGGGTTATCGAGCCAAGTGAGAGTCCATGGAGCAACCGAGTGACTTTGGTGAGGAAGCCTGGAAAGAACCGGTTGTGCTTAGACGCGAGAAAGCTAAATCAGCTCACGGTGAAGGATGCTTACCCACTCCAGAGCATTGAGTCGATCTTGAGCCGAGTGGAGGATACCATTTACATCAGCAGCCTGGATCTAAAGCATGCTTTTTGGCAGATCGAACTGGATCAGGAAAGCCGGCAGTACACCGCGTTTACGATACCAGGAAGGCCACTGTATCAATTTAAGGCCATGCCGTTCGGGTTGTGCAATGCGGCGCAGCGCCTTTGCCGGGTGATGGATAAGGTGATTCCCCAGCGTTTGAGAAGCCATGTATTCGTGTACCTGGACGACCTTCTCATAATATCCAGAACGTTTGAGGATCATTGCAAGGTGCTGCTGGACGTGGCAAGTGCTTTGAAAGTAGCCAATTTGACGATTTCCTTAAAAAAATCCAAGTTCTGCTACAAGTACTTGAAGTATCTGGGGTTTGTGGTTGGCGATGGTGCGTTGCGGACGGATCCAGAGAAGGTCGAGGCGATTCGGGCGATTTCCTTGCCGACCAGCGCAAAGCAGCTCCGCCGATTCTTGGGGACCGCTGGCTGGTATAGGCGTTTCATTCGGAATTTTTCCACGATTTCCGCGCCGTTAACGGACTGCCTGAAAGGGAAAGGAAAGTTCCAATTATCGGGCGAAGCGGTTGCGGCATTTCAGGAGTTGAAAGGGGCACTCACCTGCGCGCCAGTGTTGGTGCATCCAGACTTTCGGAAGCCGTTCGTGATCCAATGTGACGCGAGCCAAGCGGGCATAGGAGCGGTTTTGTTCCAACTCGATGCAGACGGGGCCGAAAGGCCGATAGCTTTTTTTTCAGCGAAGCTTCGGGGCGCTCAGCTGAGCTATAGTGTCACCGAGAAGGAATGCCTGGCTGCAGTAAAAGCGGTCGAAAGATTCCGGCCGTACGTTGAATTGATGCCGTTTAAGGTGGTGACTGATCACGCCAGCCTGCGGTGGCTGATGTCATTGAAGGAGTTGGACGGTCGATTAGCGCGGTGGTCGTTGGCCCTGCAGAGGTTCGACTTTAATATTGAGCATCGGAAAGGCAAGGAAAATATTGTAGCCGATACCCTCTCACGGCCTTTCGAACTGGAGGAAGTTGATTTTTTTGATTTCGAGACAACCGAGTTCGAAGGTGCGGAGTATACCGAGCGGCTGAAGCAAGTGCGGGAGAACGCGGAGCTATTTCCGGATTTACGCGTGGAGGATGGGCTGTTGTATAAGCGGGCGCAGTTCACGCGGCCCGAGCGAGAGGAATTTTCCTGGAAGCTCTGGGTACCGCGTCCTGTGTCCGCAGCCCTTATACAGCAGGCCCATGAGAGCGACGCGGCTATGCATGGGGGCATGAAGAGGACCATAGAACGGCTCAGGCAGTTTTTTTTCTGGCCCGGGATGGTGGCACAGGTGAGGAGGTACGTTGCCGGCTGTGAAACGTGCAAAGCAACAAAGCACAGCACGCAATTAGCGAGGCCGGTAATGGGCGCCGAAACCGTATCGCTCCGACCAATGCAGAGGCTGCATCTGGATTTTCTAGGGCCGTATCCGAGGTCCAGGAGAGGGAATACCACCATTCTGGTTGTTCTTGACCATCTGTCCAAATTCGTGTGGTTGCGAGCGATGCCAAAAGCAACAGCGGCGGCAGTGGTCCGGTTTCTGCAGGAGGAGGTGTTTTCGGCATTTGGAGTCCCAGAAACCGTCCATACCGACAACGGTAAGCAATTTGTGGCCAACCAATTTACGGGGTTCCTGCAGGGGCTGAGCATCACCCACGTACGCACGGCGAACTATGCCCCACAGGCGAATGCGGCGGAACGCGTGAACCAGACAGTGTTAGCGGCCATCAGGACATATGTACAGGGCGACCACACGAAGTGGGACGAGAAGCTCTCGGACGTGCAGTGTGCAGCACGCAGTGCTATCCATGGCAGCATCGGCACGTCCCCGTATTTCGTTTTGTTTGGGCAGCACATGTTCACCAGCGGGAAGGATTACAAGCTGGCACGCAAGTTGGGGGCGCTGGAGGATGCGGAATTGCGCATGTTGCCCAGATCGGATCAGCAGAAGGCAGTGCGGGATGAGGTACAGCAGAGTGTCCACCTGGCATATGAAAAGGCGAAACGGCAATACGATAAGCGTGCGAGGATGGTAGCGTACGTACCTGGCCAGGAGATTTACAGGCGAAACTTTGTCCTCAGTCGTTTTAAGGACAACGTGAACGCGAAGCTGTGCCACAAGTATGTGAAATGCCGTGTCCGGAGCAGCGTGGGCAACAGCCTGTACGAGTTGGAGGACATGCACGGGCGTCGGTTGGGAGTCTTCCACGCCAAAGATTTAAAGCAATAGCTAAGGCCCGGCTTTGTTCGTCGGTAGACCGAGAGACCCATCTCAGGGTGTGGGCGGTGGCCTACGTTGGGCAGAGAAAGAACCGCGGCGCTTCTCACTCCCGTTTCTTCCGTTTGGCACCAAAATAAAACCGGAGTGTGGTGTTATGTGCGGCGCGGCAGTATTGGGAAACCACAAATGTCGTCGGACAAAAGGAGTGGCAACTCGCGCGATTGGCAGCTGGAGCGGGCCGATAACAAGTACTCGTGCGTGAGGGGTGAGGACCAGTGCTACCAATTAGGAGGGTTGCAAAGTGGGTAAAATAGCAATTCCGGGGGAATGGCAAGTCGTGGCCTTAGGGAAGAAGAAAAATCAATTGTGGACAGTGAGCGAGAGACACGTGCTATTGCGGGAAAAAAACAAAAAAAGAGACAAAATAAGCGGAAGACAATATTCAAACACCGGAGTGACGACAGGAGGGTTGGGATATACACCAGCGAGGCTTCATAGGCAGAGGAGTAGCAGTAACTGCGGGCGTTCTGGGAAGTGCGCTGTGCGCGGGTCAGCACCGACCGGCAGTACTGGGTCTTAGGCCGGACCTCGGCCCTAGCGGAAGTCAGGCCAATTTCCATGCAACTGGAAGTCTGGGCTAAGTACCCTTCAACATTAAAATACTAAATATTCACACACATTCCGCTCAAACATAGAACCAAAATTGTATATACACCCTACATACATATACATAGCCATCTCACATACACCAGTGCAGCATATAACACAAAATTCAACTAAATACTCACACATATTCCGCTCAAACATAGAACACAAAATTTTATATACACCACACACTCCTTTATATACACTCCATACATGTTCACATACACCATATTCAAACACACACCGAATTTCCATAGCACTCAGACTCACATTCATCCCATAGCCACATAATGTAAAATACAAAACAAAAAAACAACACACAAAACAATTAACAATTTTCTGTTACACACATAGCCCAAACCATTCACAACATAATATAAAACATTAAACAGAAACACAACACCCAAACATTTAACCATATTGTAATACACACACGCCCATAGCCACATAATGTAAAATACAAAACAAAAAAACAACACACAAAACAATTAACAATTTTCTGTTACACACATAGCCCAAACCATTCACAACATAATATAAAACATTAAACAGAAACACAACACCAAACAAGTAACCATATTGTAAACAAAAATTCAAATGTATACTTAAGAAAAAAGAACATAAAAAAAAAAGAAAAGTAAAAGAAAATGTATAAAGTCTAATATAAGCAAAAGAGGTTGGAATGTGTATTGGAGCGGCGCAGTTTTTTTTTTTGTTTATCTCCTTGTCATTACATATCATTACACCCCTCATAACCACATACTCGAGTATAGGTAGGTTAGGAGGTTCGAAAATCGAATAAGATAAATAGGCACAAAGAGCCAACAAACTGCAGCGTCCCAAAACTCAATGGCCTAAATACCCGAATATATTTTTATTGTAATAAAATTTAAAATTTGAAAATGAGTCTGGAGTAGAATCCATTTATGGGGTGAGATGGGGTGACTAAAGTCCCGGAGCAGAAGGGAAACCAAAGCAAGCATGTTGAAGGGAGCCGGCAACAAAATGCCAAAACCGGCTCAAGGTAGGGAGGGCCACGCGGCTACATGACACCAAAGTAGCCACAACTCCACCCAAATTCCACAGGCGTCCCTCAGCCGACAATATGAGTAGGTGTGTTTGATAAAAAAATATAAATTCATTGTTGGTCTGCCGCACCCCTGTCGCGGTCGAATCTGACCCTGAGCCGATGGCTAGCCGGCGTAACGACAGGGGATGCACTGGCAAAGGCGGACATAACATCGCATACAAAATAAAAGCGTCAATAAGATTCGCTCAAGTGTTTGGCGGCATGTTTTTTGTTGCCGCTCACGCGCCCGCCTCTAGCGCGTGCAAAAGGAGTGCACGGCAGCAGGCGTTTTCATTTTCGCATATGCGAGCCAACGAGCCAACGACGACGACCCATGCCGTCGCTTTTCAGTTTCACTACATTTTCCAGCTTTTCAGTTTCAGTTTTCAGTCGAGCAAAGAAACTCGAACGCAACGGACGCGTGCGATGTGCAACAACAACAACAGCAAGCAATAAAATATTACGACAACGTGAAATAAAAAGAAAACACACACACAAAATATCGCAAATATTTAAAAGAAAACTTCGCGACACCTTCGTGTTGTTGTCGATTCTCTCGTCTGCTTTTTTTTCTCTCACTCTCTCCATCCCCCTTCTCACCTCTTCTTCTACTCTGCGCATAATATAATTGATTTCGAATAATTCGTTTGTTTTGGCAAAAAGGAGGAAAATTGTGCCGTGTTTGCCGTGTACGCGAGCGCGTGTATGTGTGTGTGTGTGTGTGTTGACGTTGAAGTTACGTCAAGGCGACAACAGCAGCAACAACAACAACAAGAGCAGGAAGCACAACAACAATAGCAGAAGCAGCAACAATAGAAGCAAGGAGGCCGCAACTTTGCTTTAAAAAGGAAACCACAGAAGTCGCCAAAAAATTAAGCAAACGTTGCCAACAGATTTTGCCGCCGCCGCTGCCCGTCTTCAAAACCGTCACCGCTACCGCCTACACCACCGCCACCACCACCACCACCAGCACCACAGCAACCAGCTCGACAACACCGACCGACCGCCAGTTGCAACAACTGGAGGAGCTGAACTGTTGTTGTTGCCATTAGCGATAGTTTTTCCCTCCATTTAGTTTTTTTGCTCAGCCGGCAACGCGGCGGTTTCGGCTTCGTTTACGGTTTCGTCCGTATCTCCTGACCCCCCGCCCTCCCACTCATTTGTTTTTGTTGGGGTTGTTTCATTCCTACGGTTGCTGTTGTTGTTGTAATTGTTATATATTTTTTTTGCAAGTCGTGCACGCGCGCTTATGTAAAGTGTAATATGGAAGCATGTCTTCCACTTCCAGCTCCGTGGTAACGCTGTCATCGTTCAATCTATTGTTTTTCACCCAAGGTAAATACAATTAACTATTTACTTAATCTAATGCCAACACATAGCCGCTGCCTTAATTGCCATTATAGCCAAAGTAAGTCGCTGGTAAATGTGATTTGACATACAACTTCCAACTTTATGTAATCCAGCACACAAGTCCACTTTCAAAGCGTACATCCCCACATCACTCATACGCAGGGTGGTACGCTGTAGTTCGTTCTATGTGGGCTAATAAAGAATAGTGCTAGGAAGCTATCACTGAAACAACAAATATCAAAAAGTTCAATTTAATATCACTTCACAGAAATATATGTATTTCATGAAAACAAAAGCAAAACTTAATAGAGAAAAGGTTTTGCTGTTATTGCAAATATTTTAAAAATAAATCAATTATTTAATAATTTTTTCTGTAATTTTAAGCGTTTGGCATGCAAATTCCAAATACAAATGGCCCTGTTCCGGCATTCAAAACGTTTCACATACGTTTCTCGAATGAGAATTGGCTGGATTAAAGGCTTTTTCGAGCAAGCATTTTGTACACTTTAATGATATCACGCATGTGGGTGCGAAACATTTTAGAATTGAGCAGAACATATTATTATAAGTATAATCGTATGCATTTGAAAATCATTTCGAACGTGCCTTACATTGTCTTCACTCTAGTCTAATCGAGATTAAGAGAAACACAAAGTCTCATGCTCAATAGCAGCTCCTATGCTGTCCAAATTCAGCTTCAATATAGCTTCAATAACTGGCATGGGCGTTATAAATAAGAATTGTGAGCCCTTCATATCTTTAGTTGTACTGAGGGATATAATTATTTATTAATTATATACAAAAATTACGTTAATTTAATCAAGAAAAGAAGATTCTTTAATAAAAATGTGCAAGATTACAAAAATATATACTGTACTACATATATTGTAATGTGCTTTGGGATATAATTATTTATTTATTAGATAAATAAAAATGATGTTAATTTAAAAAAAAATGTAATATCAACATTTTGCAAGATTGAAAAAAATATACAGATGTACTTAAAACAAAATTTTTGCTCATGATATAAGAATTTGCATTGTCAATTGACGTTCCCTACTATACGGGTACGTGTATGTCGGTATCGCGGTACGCTTTCCAATCTCCTATATTATATGCTGGTCTTAAGAATTGACTTGACTTGACTAGATCGACTGAGAGATTCGTCATAAAATGTTTCAAAAATATATATGTATTAATTTTTGTTGTAGGAAATGGTGTTGTAAAATAATATTTTTATTTCAATATATTTGGAGCAAAAATGTTGTACCAAAATATGATAATTATCATAAATGATGCAAATAAAACCCTTCACATCTATTAGTATAATCGAGCACTTCCAAAATGGTGTACTTTCGAGTTCTTGTTTTAAAGCTACTTGGCACTAGATATTTAGTATAGCAATATACTATATGTATACAGTTTCTTTTAGTATGAAGTAGTCTTGAATCACGTTCTGCATCACCATCAATCATAGGCAAACCTTGATTAGAGCGCAGCATGTCAAGACAGCGGCATCTCAGTGACAGGCCTTCTTTGGGCCTGCTCGCTCGTGACAGGCTCTCGTGTTCGTTCCCCTGCTAAACCAGCTTGTCCAGCTTGTCCGACAGCCACATCGCTGTCAGACACATCCAAGCAGCGTGCATGCATGCCATAATTAATTTTAAGCCCACAAATGGCAACATGTGTGACCCAATTTCGTGGAGTGAGCTGGAGGGCTTGAGCTGTCTCCGAAAATCCTCAAGTACTTGCAAGCCTGACAGTTAATCATTCGGCCGTGGCTTTCACTTGAGTCTGATAATCAAGTCGAAAAGTGTTGGCTTATAGTATTCGTAATTTTTACAAAAATAGGTCTTCGGTCTAACATTTTTGAAATTGCCAAGCTTTCAACTAACATATTTGTTATTTAGACGACAGTGTTTTCCTGAGTTTTGCACAAGTTCAAGATCAAAGGAGCCGATTAATAGATGGAAAGAGAAAAGAGAGACCTAATTTAACAAGAAACTTACTCATTATAATCTGACAATATTAAAGTATGCTAAATAAAGAATGCAGAAAGTCTCTCGTTTTTTCTCCCGCATTAAATAAACAGATGCCCATTTTTTGAAATACACTTGGAAGTTTTGCGCATTCCATTCATTTGTGGTTTCTTTTTATGCTTGAATTTTGTAACAGATTTTATTTAATTTCTTTTTAGTAAAACTATGTATATCGTGTTTCATTTAAACTCGGCAGGTAATTCTTAAAAAAAATGAAATCGGTAACTCAATTCAATGACTTCCACATCACTCTTCAAAGGGGTATACAAAGCTCTGTATGAACATATACTTTTCAGAAAATGTAGAAGTTAGATGCCCCAAATACTGTACTATTATTGCTCTGAAGTCTGAACAGATAACGTTTTCGTTTTTTTTCTTCGTCAGTCATCTTTTATGCTTTAAATCGTAAAGTATTTGTCACACTGATTCATGTCTTGTCTTATTAGAAATGTTAGACTCCTCCCTAAAAACAGTCCTCTACTATTTCTTGATGGTTCTCGTAAGAATTGAATTTATGTTGGCATAGGCGAACTAAGTTGTGGTAAAATCGTGGAAAAGATTGAAGCAAGCGGACTGCAAAGCACTTTTAAATCTCTTACATAAAGGTGGATTTAGAAAGTAACTCGATGTACATATGGGTGCCACGCAAATTATCACAAAGACAAAGATTGCATCGACTTTGCGAATTATTGGTGCCTGGTAAATAAAAATATGCCAAACATGATCCTGTGTCCAAGGCAAGACTAGCAGTCAGAAAGGTTTTGACCTTTTTAAGAAACAATCTGGTGTTTATTTCACCAGAAGTATACAAATGAATACTGATTCGCCGGAATAGTAGGGAGATCAGTTTGGATGTGGACCTGTTTTTGTCCTTAAAATGTTTTCTTGGTGACAAAAAAATTCATTCATTGGAGGACTGAGAAAATCGCAAGGAGCAAAGCATTTATGAGTGAGGAATTATGAAGCTATCTTCAATAAGTTGACTGTTTACACAATACTCGAAATGTACTCCAATTTGTTAAATCATTTTTTATTAATATACATTTACTTACTAAGTACTACATATAGTCCTGAAAATACCTTTCTTATGCTGAATTACTTATTTTTGTATACGTATTAAAAGAAATAAACAAGTCTCTGCTTTGACTTGCAAATGCCATTTTAGAAATGCAATTGTTGTACTGAATGTCTCATAGTTGAGTGCGCGAGGCTTCAGTTGGGAAACTTTGTTGTTTTTCAATACTTTTACAGTTTAAAGTGGTGTTGCCTTCCGCATTTCACTTTATATTCTTTGCTTTTTATTACTTTTTAAAACTTAAATTGCATTGTCAACCTTGTGCGGATCCTGCTGGCTCTTATGCTTGCTGTTGCCCCTTTCTATTGTTGTTGACAGTAAATCTGAGGAGCAGCTGCACCTGCTAAGGACACTAGACAATCATTCTTAACCCAAGCTGCCATTTTATCTTCGTCCCCAGTTACCCTACTACCTCCCCCTTTGCCCATTCACAGCTCAATTTGCATGCAAATTGCATTTAAATTCTTGACTCGCAGTATTTCGCGTTTATTCCTTTTATGTATGTTACTATTGCTGTTGTTATTGTGGGCAGTTGATTTGTGTTTTCCTTTCTGCTTGGGGAAATGTGTACTCATTATTTTGTAATTGCTGTGACGTTCTGTGTCCACTGCCAGGCACTAATGGCCCAAAAGCGTTTGCTTTTAATTAAAAAGGAAGATAATGTTCGGAAATAAAAACAAAGAAAGCAAAACAGAGAATGGAAAATGGTGGCAACTGCACAATTGATTTGCACAAGCATTCCAAATGGTTGGCCGGCAACTTTGGCAACCGCAAATGCTTAATTAGAAAATTCAGAGACACACACAGACAGAAATATGTAATAAATGGAGGGGGAATGAACAAGTTTTGCATTTTATTTCACTCGCCTTTTTGTTGCTGCAGTGACAGTGCATTATGCGCTGATTGTTCAGATGCGGGAAGCCAAAGTCGTTTCCTTGGCGCCCTAACATGACCAAACACAAAAGCGTCTACCAACAACAATAAAAGCAGCAGCACCAACAACAACAACAACAACTGCATTCTCGAGCTGCTGATGCAAACAAACTGTCGCACGCCAAAGTCATTGTGGGGTCGGTCGCTCATTTCAGTGCTAGAGGAGTTTGCGTGACAGGATCGTGAGAGCGCTGTCACCATTATTGTCCTCATTATAATTGATTCCTAAATGTCGTTGCTACAGTCCTGCATATATTGCTAAAAAGAATAAAGTTTATCATTAAACTCACTAAATATTAAGCCAATTTAATAAGCAATTAACTACTCTATTATTTAATTAAAATTATTCATTTCATTAAGAACCAATTTTTAAATTCATTTTAATTTTGAGATCTAAAATGGCTGAATTCATGACTATTTTATAGTATTTTAATATTTTAATTGCAATACATACCTTTGTTAGGCTTTTGATTTATTGTCTAGGGGGAATTCAATATTGGTACTGGTATATATGAACTAGGATATATATACATTTAAAAGATCTCGGTTAAAGGTTACAAGCTAGACGAAATTATACAATGAAAAGATCTCGGTTAAAGGGGTGTTGAGCTTGTTTCTGCAATTTATTACACTTTTTGGCCAAGCTAGACAAAATTCATGTATGAGTTAGCGTTGGGTGAAGGTTATTTTGAAGTTTAAAATAAGATTATAACGTATGTTAATTCTCACTCAATGTTGGCGAAATATTTGTGCTTAGTTTTGGGCTTACAGTGCCATCGCCAGCTTTGTGAACGATGTTGTAAGGCTCGTCTGGTGTTTTGTGCCGCCTGCTGCACACTCTGAACGCTTTTGGTATTTTTTGGATTTTGCGGTTGTCTGTTGCTTGCAGTATTGTGGTCGATGTTGCAGCTACAGATGCTACTTCCTCTTGCTCAAGC